GGCGACAGCAACTGATGGTGGTTAATGAATTGAAACTCCCAGAACTGAAGCATTTCCAGCACAGAGAGAGGAACACGCGGGCTCTTCTGAAGCGAGCTCAGAAGGAAGGAAAGTTCAGCAGGAAGTTAGAGTTGTGGCCTTGGCCATTGGGTTCCAAGAGAGAAAAGTTACTGGAAAGTTAGACAGAGTCGTGGCCTTGGCCATTGGGTTCAAGATAATAAGCAGAAGTGGACCGGTGTAATTTCAGTCCTTTTCATCCATTTAACAGGTTTAAATAATTGGTGCCACTTATGTTTCTCAAATAAGAGCACGTATTATTCCCAATGAATGGGGATTCTTGGAACTTAGGCTCCTAGGATGATACCGGGCAACCTCAGAGGCCTGACAGGTCAGAGATAGAGCGTGAGTCATAGGTAGTGTTTCATTCCCCGGGATCTATTGTGCTTTGTTACACAATCCACTTACAATGCACCTAAAAGTCCGCAGTGGGTGCTCGGGAGGGCCCAGTCTCGGGGAAGGGCATGTGTTTGCTGAGGCAGAGGCTCAGCAAAGAGGGGGGGCCTCGATGGGGTGGGTGGACACAGTGGCTGCAACAAGGGGCTCGAACAAAGCAACAATCGCGACGATGAGGCACGGCTTGGTTGTTGGACTTCGGGTGGATATGAGTCGGAACTGACTGTCAGCCCCTCGCTCCGACAGCAACAATGGCAAACATTAAAGGCTTCAAAACTCTGTGGTGCCTTTAATTGTCTATAATAGGCTCTGACTCCAGGGGCACACCTGATTTAACCCTTCTAGAGAGACCCTTTATTGTTCTCCAGTAGACCAGTTCTATTCCCCTAGCATGTAGCTGGTGACTTAAATAATAATAATAATAACCCGCTGCCATCGAGTTGGTGCTGAGTCAGAGTGAACCTATAGGGCAGGGTAGAACTGCCCCTGTGGTTCCCGAGACTGAATCTTTACTAGAGTAGAAAGCCTCGCTTTTTCTCAGGAGGAGAGCTGGTGGTTTTGAACTGCTGACTTTGTGGTTAGCAGGCCAATTCATAGCCACTATGCTACTCACCAGATGGTTAAAAATCAATCTGGTTCATGGTGGCCCCAGGCGTGGCAAAGTAGGATGTGCTACGGAGGGTTTTCAGTGTTGGACTTTTTGGAAGGTGGTCACCAGGCCTTTCTCCCAAGGGACCTCTGGGTGGGCTGGAAGCCCCAACCTAAGCACATGCTGTATCCATCTGTTCACTCAGCCTCTGCCATTGAGCCCGTTCTGACTCATAGAGACTCCATCGGACAGGGTGGACCTGCCCCTGTGAGTTTCTGAAACGCAACTGTTTACAGGAGTAGAAAGCCGTGTCTTTCTCTGCAGAGCAGCTGGTGGTGTCAAACGGCCGACCTGGCGGTTAGTAGCCCAGTGTGTAACCACTACGCTACTAGGACTTCCATCTAATCCATCTGCAGCACCGCTAAACAATGTATCCACTGTAAAATCGTAGCAGCCACAGGTCCTTTCCACCTGTTCCTTTCAACTCCTGGGAAGCCCCAACTGCACTAGATAGATTATAGCTCTGACTTGTGGGGGAAACCAGAAACAGCATCTGAAAGCCTCGGAAAGGGTCATACTTGGGCCATGGCTGAGGCGAAGGGAGTAAAATTTAGAGCACAGGGTTCTTGGGCTAACACCGTTAGTGGGATCTTGTCAGGCTCTCTCTAGAGCAGCGGTTCTCAACCTGGGGGTCACGACCCCTTTGGGGGTTTAACAACCCTTTCACAGGGGTCACCCGATTCTTGACAGTAGCAAGATTACAGTTATGAAGTAGCAACAACAGTAAGTTTATGGTTGGGGGGGTCACCACCACATGAGGAACTGTATGAAGGGGTCACAGCATGAGGGAGGTTGAGAACCACTGCAAGTCTAAAGGCTGAGACCAGGCTCCTCCCAGAAGCAGATGGATTCATGGGAGTTGCCTCTTTCTATGACCCCAGACCTTTGAGGGAAGGCAGAACCCAAAGCAAGGGTCACAGAGTTTCGTGCTAATTCCACACTCACGATCATTAGCCAGGACAATGCTGTTTCACCTTTCTCTGACCACCCTTATTCCCAGGGGTGATGGCTCTTCTACACTGATCGCCAGTGTCATGTTCCATAAGGTCACATCTGCACCACAGCGTGGGGTTTTCTTCTTCCCCCTAGAATTCCAGGGATAATCTGGAGGGCTTTCTTATAGGCTGCTGTAACTGTGATGAGCTCATTCAAGGAAGCGAATCTCCACCGCTGATTGGCCCACATGGTTCGCAATTTTGCCAGTACAAACTGTGGCCTCAATGGCAGCAAGAGTTACCAAGCAGGGTTGGTGGTTTAGTGGATGACATGCTGGGGTGCTACCAACAAGGTCAGCAGTTTGAAACCACCAGCCACTCTGCTGGGGAAAGATGAGGCTTTCTACACCCACGATGAGTTACAGTTTGGAATACCCACAGGTGCAGTTCTACCTTAGCCTCTGGGGTCGGTATGCGTCCACATGGACTAGATGGCCACGAGTTTGGTTCAGTTGGGGGTTTCTTTGCTGCTGGTGGTTGGCTGGCTGGCTGGCTGGGAAAGAACAGGCCCAGTCACCATGGTCTGTTCTCATGGATAGGACGGGATGCAACAGTGGCCTCAAAGATGTCAATAACTGTGAGGCTGTCACGGACCAGGCTATCTGCCAGGTCTCCCAGAGCCGGGCCTGCCTCAACAGCAGCAACTTCTTACCATTCAGGAACCGAGTGGGGAAATGCCCTCCCGCTGGCAGAACTCACTGGGTGAACTTAGAAACTGTTTGCGAGACAATTGTGGGCCCTGGTAAGGGGATGTGGGAGCATTGTTGTTGTTGCTGTGTCTGGCAGAGATAACATTACATCTCAGGAGCGTGTATCACCAAACGCTAGATTTGTTCACTTGTTTCTCTGGGACACTCCTGTGTGTTTTACAAGCTCTGTCAATGCAAAGCACGGAAAAGTGAAGTTTTAATTGATCTTGAAAAATCCGGAACTGTTTTTATCGCCCTTTGTGTGGGATCTGTAATCAGCCGGTTACTTCTTGTTGTTTTTGTGTTTTTTATTCAAGGGAGGGTAGTGGCCCTGGTCAGCTGGCATCTGAATGGGAGTTGATTCTGACTCACAGCAATGCTCTGGGATAGGGCAGATCTGCCCCTGTGGGCTTCTGAGACTGCCACCCTGTGATAGGAGGAGAAAGCCTCACCTTTCTCCAACAGAGCGGCTGGTGGTTTTGAACCACTGACCTGGAGAAGGGCGGTCCAAGGCGTAACCACGATGCCACCAGGGCTCCAGCCAGGCCACGGGCTCCACTGAGCTTTGGAGGAGCTGAGCAGCTGCGTCACAGCGTTCCCCTCCCCGGTGTGAAATGCCACACAGCCAAATACACACGCCAGGCTCAAGGGCACATCCACTCAAATGTCGACTTCACTGTTGATTTTAAGAGTAGAACTGGAAACTGCCAACACCCTTTAAGCATGAGCACACTCTAACGACCCCAAGGCCGACGAACCACCATTAAGGAAAAAAGAAAAAGCTTCACTCTATGAAGAGATGACTCTTCATTCTTACACCAGTGGAAGATGCATATGAGGTCGGGCATGTGTGTCCTGGGATGGGGGGTAGAGGGGTGTGCTTTAGAACTCTCTGGAAATGTCAGGAAGTACCGTCCTACTGGAGAAAGTAGGTACAAGTACCAGGGTTTGGACAAATTTCCAAATCCAGATTCACTTGATGGGTAAAGGAATCTGTACCAGCCTTCTTGTAGTCGGGAGAAAGCTCATTGTACTTTTCATAGTCTGTGGATTTCTGAGCCTGTAGCTCTTTCAGGAGTAGTAAGCCGTCTTTCTCCCTCGTGAGGGTTGGGCTGAGAAAATAAATTCTCTGGCCTTCAAATTGAGTGCCTTGTTTTCTGCCTTGAGACAAGCCAGCACCCCAAGGAAGGTCCTTGATGAGCTGGTGGAATCCAAAAGAGGAGGACGCACCCTCTGGCCTGGGTGTCATTAGTTAACACTGCCCCGTCCCATAATCTCTTGAGGTTCCAAGAATTCGGACTTCGCTGAGCTATAAACCCAGCAGGTGACTGGAGTACTTCAGTAGGACCAGCATGTTCTGGGAAGACCTGAGACCATGGACATCCCTCCTGACGCACTGGTGTGTGAAGGGCTATGGGCTTCCAGGACAGCAGCTAACCGGCCAGAGAGAAGGCAGAGCCAGTCC